ATAGGGGTTCTCTGTGGATAGCTTACATAGTTTGGGGTGAGGTAGTGCCATAAAGAGCTCTGCATAAGAAATGAACGGTTTAGGGGTTGGATGTGAGTGAGAGCCCTAAAAAAGAGAAGACAAGGGTTCAAAGAAGAGAGGGGAAGCCCAGAAAAATGGAAGGAATTTGGAGGCCAAGCATAGACTATGTTCAGTGCAAATACCCACTTGGTAAGAATAGTCAAAGGATTTTTTTTTCTTTAGTAAACTTTTTATTGAAGTACAACGCATGGTCCCACTATCGTACTGGCAACATGTTTGGCAGTCAAACTCACATGACACAATAGCATTTGGTCCAGCAGTGTGTTTGCTCAGCTCTTTAGTGAGATTCAGAACAGGAAAGAACATGCACAGCCCTTCAGTTTCAGTGAAGCCTCCCAATTGTCCATGTGCATAGCTGCTTGGGTCCCCCCTCACCCACCTAGAGAGTGTGTGTATTTGATTGATGGTGATGAGGCCATAGTATGTGGAGGTCATCTTTAAACAAAGAACTTCTCTCTTGGTTTTCTACCTGTCATGTATGCTAACAACTCACAGGTCTCCCAGCTCATGTGCTGTCTAACAGATCAGAGATTTTCACAGTGTACCAACACATGTCTGGCCCTGGGACCCAGCATTCCCAATTTATCTTGGGACATATTCAAGGGATTGTGCTATTCAAGTGCTGGGAAAGTAAGCCTAAAATCCTCCCAGGCAGATCTAGGTCTGGGGGAAAAAGAGTAAGGTCTGCTGCTAACACTTTGCTCACCTAATAAGGTATCCAATCACGTGTAGATAGCGTAGTTTTCATAAAGTGGGTAGATCTGTGTAACTAGCACTCAGATTCAGAAATGGTACAGTCCAGAATTTCAGAATCCATTCTCATTTCCTATTCAAGTCATTAATCCAATAGTAATCAATATCCTGATTTCCAACACCATGGATTAGTGTGGGCTTTTTTGAACTTTATATAAGTGAAATCCAATGGTATGTACTCTTTCATGCCTGGCTTCTTTCACTTAATATGTTTGTTTAATCCATCCATGTTGTATGTAGTTGTATTTCATCAATTCTATGTCTGTTTAGTTGTATAATTATACCACATTTATCCAGGTTGCTATGAAGTTTAGTGTCTGTATAATTACAGCACAGATTATTTATCTGTTCTACTCTTGATGGACATTTGGGATGTTTCTGGTTTTTGGCTATTAGGGTCGGTGCTGCTATGAACATTGTTCTACATGTCTAATGGTGAAAATATGAATGTATCTCTGTTATGTATATGCTTAGGCGTGGAATTGCAGGGCCGAAAAGTATGTGTGTGTTCAGCTTTTATAAATAGTGCCAAGCACTGTCCTAAGTGGACATTACCAAGGACATAACCAGCAGTAGTGTGTCAACATTCCAGTTGCTTCACGTCCTCAATGGTATTTGGAATTTTCTTGCTCATTACAATGGCCAAAGGATTTTTATGAGCAAGGATGTCACATATTTACTTTTGTTTGTTGAGCGCTGTTGCCGTAAAATCTCTTTCCTGCACTGTTTGTGTCCGCAAAGCAATATGCTCCATGCACAACCGAACATAAGTAGTATTTGAGAGGATCGAAATTATTTGGGGCAATACAAAAGGAAAAATATTAGAGATGTAATGCAGAGAAGGGGAATTTGATAGAAGAAAGAACTTGGATCTGGAGATATTATTAAAGATCTGAGTTTCTCATCATGTGTGGGGTGAACACACACACACGCACACACACACCCCACATGGCTATTTGTCTCTCTAATTTCTTTCCAGGGAGTGGGGGTCTTATTAAATGAAAGCTCATGATTTGATAAGAAATGTGATAAGTTTGACTAAATAAGTTTGGGGGTAGGCATCAGAGACAGATGCATGGAGAAAAACTGGAGACGGGCAGGAGATGAGAGAAGCAGATAAAAGAGCTGGAGCGAGGACGCTGCCTGATGGCAGTGAGAGACTTGGGAGAGCAGGGACATCTGTTATCTTGTGTTGTCCCACCCCTGTGACCCCAGACATTCCTTAAAGTCAATTGGGCTCATGAATGCTGTGTTTGAGTGGATTTTATTGTGTGTGTGGGAAGAGCATAGTGTGTACTTCATACCTGGTTCTACATGGTGCAGGGCAGCATCTGGGAAGAAGAAGAAACTGGGGGGCAGAAGAAACTAAGCATAGCAGCCCCCAGGGAACTTGTCTAAATCTTGGGAAAAGCTTTGCTTATGTACAGTGGTACAACTGCTACACTGAGGATTGAACTTGATTTTGAGGATAGAAAGAACCTCCCCCAACCCCTGGGCTACAGACACTAAACTTCATAGCAACCTGGATAAATGGGAGAATCAAGGAGTCCTTATCTGGGTGCTGGCTGCATTGGTGGGAAAATCCCACATAAATGGTATGGAATACAAAAGAGAATGTGTAACAGAAGAGCATCAGCCAGTGATGCAACAAGACAAGAGAAGGGTAGACCAGGGTGGAGCCATGGCCCTGAGCCACACCCAGAGAAGAGCTGCTCCACTTCCATTGTGGAGAAGACTTGGATGTTAAACAGGGAACCATCTATACGCAGATACACATTCGCGCCTAGCCAGGGTAAATACACTGCTCGACACTCCGTGTAGGAAGTATAATATTATTTTTCTGAATCAAATTAAACCTGGTTTGGGGTCTCTCCCCTGCTGTGGTTGGTAAGAAATGCCTTTTGGGAGAGACACTGTGCCTGACTCCCTGAGGCGGTGTAGGAATCCTGGAGGCTTATGTACTACACGGAGAATAGTGATGAGGGTGTGCATGAAGGGAGGGCTGTCCTGCCCCCTGTGTGTTCAGTAGCTCCTTCTCTTTCAGGCTGCAGCTCTCCCTGGTCTTCTGCTTCGGTCAGGCATACTGATTCCCCTTGTCGGAATCCGCCCTGCCGACATGGGCTCAGCCACAGAGAACCTCACCCCTGCTCCCTGGAGGGCCACTGCCATTAGTGCTCAGCCTCCCTACAGATCCACTGGCC